TAACGAAACCAAGTCTTCATCGCTTTTCTGCGGGTAAATATCATTAATTATTTTCAAAATTTTCGCATTATCTTCATTATTATTAGGAGTATAAAAAGCACTTTCTGCAAGTTGCTCCGAATAAATTAAATTAAACCCTTTAACTCTATGCTTTATGCTCCCTTTACCTTTACTATCAAAAAACATTGGTAAGATAAAACCTACAAAATCTGCTTTTTTTGAATGATTTATAAATTCTAAGGCTATAACACCCCGATGCCCAAAAGGGGGATTTCCAATAACAATTAAAGGTTTATTTGGTAATTTATACTTTAAGTAATCACCTTTAATTACATCTTTTCTTTTGGGGTCAATATCAACACCAATTTTTTGGTTGGTCGGAAGTAAATCATAAAAACATCCTTCTCCTACACTTGGTTCTAGTCAAATGTATTTTTCGATTTTTTCATATTGAGAAATTATATTTTTAGTTTTTTCAAATAATTTTTCCGCAATATGTTTTTTGGTAAAATATTGGTCGAGGATATTTTTTTTGTTAATCAACATTTTTTTTCCATTAACATATTTTGAATTTACTTTACTAATTTGCCTACTTGGCATATATTTAATATCACTATTTTTTAGACCCACCATGATACCACGAATATAAGTAATTTTTACTCTTTTTCCTCACTACACTCTTTCATGCACTGTTTAGCAAGTTCGTGATAAACTTTATCCAACATTAAATCTATCCATTGTGAAGAACTTTTGCCACAATGAGGGCATTCTAATAACTTCTCAACCATAATTTAATTTTAAATCTGTTTAAACATTTTACTTAATTTTACAACCTATTATATACAGAGTATATAAAATATATTACATGGAGCATCTTGCTAAAATCTTTCAAGAACTTTTATATAAAGACGAAGGAGGAGAATTTCCTTGGAATAATAAACTCATTAAAAAAATGAGAAAAAATCAATAAAAAACGGAGCTTAAGTGACGGAAGAGAAAAGTTGATATATATATATATATATATAGGAGAGAGAGAGAGGGAGAGAAGAAAAACATTCTTTTTTAATA